AGATCTGATTTAGAGATAACAAGTTTATCTGTTATCTACCTTGAATATAGATCTGATATTAGAGATAACAAGTTTATCTTTTATCTACCTTGAATATAGATCTGATATTAGTGATAACAAGTTTATCTGTTATCTACCTTGAATATAGATCTGATTTTAGAGATAACAAGTTTATCTGTTATCTACCTTGAATATAGATCTGATATTAGTGATAACAAGTTTATCTGTTACCTACCTTGAATATAGATCTGATATTAGTGATAACAAGTTTATCTGTTATCTACCTTGAATATAGATCTGATTTTAGAGATAACAAGTTTATCTGTTATCTACCTTGAATATAGATCTGATGTTAGAGATAACAAGTTTATCTGTTACCTACCTTGAATATAGATCTGATGTTAGAGATAACAAGTTTATCTGTTACCTACCTTGAATATAGATCTGATTTTCGAGATAATAAGTTTATCTGTTTCCTACCTTGAATATAGATCTGATTTTAGAAATAACAAGTTTATCTGTTATCTACCTTGAATATAGATCTGATTTTCGAGATAATAAGTTTATCTGTTACCTACCTTGAATATAGATCTGATTTTAGAGATAACAAGTTTATCTGTTATCTACCTTGAATATAAATCTGATTTTAGAGATAACAAGTTTATCTGTTACCCACCTTGAATATAGATCTGATTTTAGAGATAACAAGTTTATCTGTTATCTACCTTGAATATAAATCTGATTTTAGAGATAACAAGTTTATCTGTTACCCACCTTGAATACAGATCTGATTTTAGACATAACAAGTTTATCTGTTATCTGCCTTGAATATAGATCTGATTTTAGAGATAACAAGTTTGTCTGTTACCCACCTTGAATATAGATCTGATTTGAGAGATAACAAGTTTATCTGTTATCTACCTTGAATATAGATCTGATTTAAAAGATAACAAGTTTATCTGTTATCTACCTTGAATATAGATCTGATTTTAGAGATAACAAGTTTATCTGTTACCTACCTTGAATATAGATCTGATTTTAGAGATAACAATTTTATCTGTTACCCACCTTGAATATAGATCTGATTTTAGAGATAACAAGTTTATCTGTTACCTACCTTGAATATAGATCTGATTTTAGAGATAACAAGTTTATCTGTTACCTACCTTGAATATAGATCTGATATTAGAGATAACAAGTTTATCTGTTACCCACCTTGAATATAGATCTGATTTTAGAGATAACAAGTTTATTTGTTAACTACCTTGAATATAGATCTGATTTTAGAAATAACAAGTTTATCTGTTACCTACCATGAATATAGATCTGATTTAAGAGATAACAAGTTTATCTGTTATCTACCTTGATAATAGTCTGATTTTAGAGATAACAAGTTTATCTGTTACCAACCTTCAATATAGATCTTATTTTAGAGTTAACAAGTTTATCTGTTATCTACCTTGAATATAGATCTGATTGTAGAGATAACAAGTTTATTTGTTACCTACCTTGAATATAGATCTGATTTTAGAGATAACAAGTTTATCTGTTACCTACCTTGATTATAGATCTGATTTTAGAGATAACAAGTTTATCTGTTACCCACCTTGAATATAGATCTGATTTTAGAGATAACAAGTTTATTTGTTAACTACCTTGAATATAGATCTGATTTTAGAAATAACAAGTTTATCTGTTACCTACCATGAATATAGATCTGATTTAAGAGATAACAAGTTTATCTGTTATCTACCTTGATTATAGTCTGATTTTAGAGATAACAAGTTTATCTGTTACCTACCTTGAATATAGATCTGATTTTAGAGATAACAAGTTTATCTGTTACCAACCTTCAATATAGATCTTATTTAAGAGATAATAAGGCTATATGTCATCTACCTTGAATATAGATCTGATATTAGAGATAACAAGTTTATCTGTTACCTACCTTGAATATAGATCTGATTGTAGAGATAACAAGTTTATCTGTTACCTACCTTGAATATAGATCTGATTTTAGAGATAACAAGTTTATCTGTTATCTACCTTGATTATAGTCTGATTTTAGAGATAACAAGTTTATCTGTTACCTACCTTGAATATAGATCTGATTTTAGAAATAAGATGTAAAACTGGAGTCAGTAATAATCAGACCAATATAATGTCTATCAGGGACTAGGTAAGCGTATGTTTCAGACTAGTATACTATATATCAGACAGGTAAGAGTCAGTAAGCTTCAGACTAGTTTAAAATCTATCTGAAACTAGGTAAGAGTCAGTTAGTTTCAGACTAGTATAATATCTATCAGAGACTAGGTAAGAGTCAGATAGTTTCAGACTAGTATGATATCTATCAGAGACTAGGTAAGAGTCAGTTAGCTTCAGACTAGTTTAATATCTATCAGAGACTAGGTAAGAGTCGGCTAGTTTCAGACTAGTATAACATCTATCAGAGACTAGGTAAGAGTCAGTTAGTTTCAGGCTAGTATAATATCTTTCAGAGACTAGGTAAGAGTCAGTAAGTTTCAGACTAGTATAACATCTATCAGAGACTAGGTAAGAGTCAGTTAGTTTCAGACTAGTATGATATCTATCAGAGACTAGTTAAGAGTCAGTAAGTTTCAGACTAGTATAATATCTATCAGAGACTAGGTAAGAGTCAGTTAGTTTCAGACTAGTATAATATCTATCAGAGACTAGGTAAGAGTCAGTAAGTTTCAGACTAGTATAATATCTATCAGAGACTAGGTAAGAGTCAGCTAGTTTCAGACTAGTATAATATCTATCAGAGACTAGGTAAGAGTCAGTAAGTTTCAGACTAGTATAATATCTATCAGAGACTAGGTAAGAGTCAGCTAGTTTCAGACTAGTATAATATCTATCAGAGACTAGGTAAGAGTCAGTAAGTTTCAGACTAGCATAATATCTATCAGAGACTAGGTAAGTAAGAGTCAGTTAGTTTCAGACTAGTATAATATCTATCAGAGACTAGGTAAGAGTTAGCAAGTTTCAGACTTGTATAATATCTATCAGAGACTAGGTAAGAGTCAGTAAGTTACAGATTAGTATAATATCTATCAGAGACTAGGTAAGAGTCAACTAGTTTCAGACTAGTATAATATTTACCAGAGACTAGGTAAGAGTCAGTTAGTTTCAGACTAGTATAATAACTATCAGAGACTAGGTAAGAGTCAGTTTCTGACCAGTATACTATCTATCAGAGGCTAGGTAAAAGTCAGCTAGTTTCAGACTAGTATAATATCTATCAGAGACTAGGTAAGAGTCAGTAAGTTTCAGACTAGTATAATAGCTATCAGAGACTAGGTAAGAGTCAACTAGTTTCAGACTAGTATAATAACTATCAGAGACTAGGTAAGAGTCAGTTAGTTTCAGACTAGTATAATATCTATCAGAGACTAGGTAAGAGTCAGTAAGTTTCAGACTAGCATAATATCTATCAGAGACTAGGTAAGTAAGAGTCAGTTAGTTTCAGACTAGTATAATATCTATCAGAGACTAGGTAAGAGTTAGCAAGTTTCAGACTTGTATAATATCTATCAGAGACTAGGTAAGAGTCAGTTAGTTTCAGGCTTGTATAATATCTATCAGAGACTAGGTAATAGTCAGATAGTTTCAGACTAGTATACTATCTATCAGAGACT